CCCAAAGCTGTGGAGTTCCTCTCTTTTGATGAAGTCCTGGGAATAATTCTAGAAATATTCTCCATCAGTGGAGCCTGTCTGGCCATCATCACAGCAGTAATTTTCTTCCATCACAGAACAACTCCAATTGTCAGAGCCAACAACTCTGAGCTGAGCTTCCTGCTGCTCTTCTCTCTGACTCTGTGTTTCTTATGTTCACTAACTTTCATTGGAGCCCCCTCTGAGTGGTCCTGCATGCTGCGGCACACAGCGTTTGGCATCACATTTGTTCTCTGTATCTCCTGTGTTCTTGGGAAAACTATGGTGGTTCTAATGGCCTTTAAAGCTACACTTCCTGGTAGTAATGCTATGAAATGGTTTGGTCCTCCACAACAAAGAATGACTGTAGTGTCAGTCACCTTCATTCAGGTTATAATATGTGCCATATGGTTGGTTGTGAGTCCTCCCTTCCCAGTGAAAAATCTGAGCACCTACAAGGAGAAGATCATCCTGGAATGTGCGTTAGNCTNTNCTGTTGGTTTCTGGGCTGTGCTCGGCTACATCGGCCTGCTGGCTGTGTTTTGCTTTGTGTTAGCTGTTCTAGCTCGGAAACTACCTGATAATTTCAATGAAGCCAAGATGATAACCTTCAGCATGTTGATATTCTGTGCCGTCTGGATCACCTTCATCCCAGCTTATGTCAGCTCTCCTGGAAAATTTACTGAGGCTGAGGAGATATTTGCCATTCTGGCCTCCAGTTTTGGACTGATACTGTGTATATTTGCTCCAAAGTGTTACATTATTTTGATTCAGCCAGAGAAAAACACTAAAAAACATTTGATGAACAAAAATTGATTGGGTACTGTCAATAATTAGTAAATATTATAAAATGAAGGGATTTCTTTGTATTAGTTTATTTTCCGATGTTACATTTTAATGCACAGTCATTCTACTTGTATGTAATTTTTTTCCTACATTAGTCTATTTGTGACATTTTGTGAAATAACTAGGAAACCTATTTAAATAACAAATAAAACTTATGTAAAACTACAACTTGGCTTGGTGTCACTCCCCCTACTTTAAATCCCATCTTGCTTTAAAAAGCAAATGGGTAAAAGTCCCAGGGGGCAAACACTTTGGATCTACTCCACTCTTTATCATGTGTGTCAGGTGTGATGTTTTTTTTTTAACTCAATATATTTTATATTAATTATTTTCTGGTTTGGGTGTAGGACAAGTTCTGCACAATATTACAAAAAAATACAAAATTTGACTGATAGACGATATATAAATTAATATAAATATTAATTTATTATGGCAAAACCTAATGCCACACACATTCAACATGGATATGTAATGGCAAAAAATGTAGTGCTCCACGAGTGAAAGTAGGTCTCTTGGGATTCTCCTGGGCACTCGAACAACGAGTCTTATTTCTATACTGCCTTTGTTCAGAGTCTTAGACAGGTTATATAAATCGATGTCAACACTTCCCCACCTTTAGAGGTTGAGGGATGGAGATCTCACTTCTCCTTATGGGCCTGAGACTGGCTCTGAGCCAGAGTGTTGGCTCAGTTTTTGCTATTAGTGGGTCAGATATTGTCGAAAATGGGACCTTACCCATAAAATGTATCCTGCAGGGTACAGCTCGTACGCCTGCATTCTCAATGGATGGGGAGTTCATTATTGGCGGCGTTTTTTCCTTACATTACAAGGAGCTCACAAAGATTCATAGCTACACCACTGCGCCTGAGCCGCCCACCTGCACAGGGAGGTTGGTAAGAGGGAGCATGGTGGGAAATGGAGGGGGTGATATACTGAAAAGTCAGGGTTATGATTTGTGTGATGTAGAAATGTGCAGCAAAATGTAATGAATTATAGACATAAGGATATGTTTTCAAGAATTATTTGCATAACATCCAAATTAATGCGGTCAATGTAAGAAAATTCTATATAGATACTGATTGAGAAAATCTGACACTGACAATAATAAAGTCAAACTCAAAAAAATTAGAATATGCTTTCAAAAGAGGCTCGTTTGTCAGATTAAATGTACAATTTGACAAAGAAAAGTTGTAA